CATTGTGCATTTGGAAAAAAAAATATTGATATATAAGTTATAATTTGGTTCACTTTGGGTTAGTATTATATTTCCAAATCACAAACTAAATAGTAAAATAAAAAAGCTAAACAAAACTACTAGTTTTAGGTTTTCCATTAGTTTTCAATTTTCAATTATTTTGGGTTGATTATTCAATGGGTTGATTTGGCTTTGCAACCGTAGGAATTGTAGTGGGTCTATCAAAGGTGTTAACAATAGTTCAGTGGAAACGTCCTTAAATAGTCAATTAAATTAAAATTTTTATTGGGTTAATGTTGAAGATTCATTGAAGTTTTCTCTAAGATAGTGACGTTGTTGAATCAACTTACCATATAAGATCAACCATTTGCGTGGACTAAAGCATGTGAGTTGAGTTTTCAGGAGCTAAAACAGAGGTTGACTACCTCTCATGTGTTGATGTTACCAAATCTTTGTGAGGTTTTTGAGGTTTACTATGATACCTCTCATCAAAGTTTGGGTTGTGTGTTGATGCAAAATAGGAAGGTGTTAGCCTATACCTTAAGGCAATTGAAGACTCATGAAGGTAACTACCCTACTCATGACTTGGAATTGGAAGTTGTGGTGTTTGCTCTAAAGACATATAATCATTCTTTTTATGAAGTTAAGTTTGATGCGTTCAATGATTACAAGAATTTGAAGTATCTATTTAATTAGAAGAATCTTAACATGAGACAATATCAATGGACAAAATTCTTCAAAGACTATGACTTCAAGTTAATGTATCATCTTAGCAATGTTAGTGTTGTGGCAAATAATCTAACTAGAAAGTCAATCCGTATGCTAACCTTAATGGTGAAGGAGTTAGAGCTGATGGAGAAGTTCAGAGATTTGAACTTGCATGTAGAGGTCTCTCTATATCACATTAGTTGTGGTATGAATACTATAACTAATGAGATTTTGTAGATGGTGAAAGAGAAGCAGTTACGAGATCCTAACTTATGTATGATAAGAGAATTGTTGTATAATGAAAAAGAAGTTGATTTCAACATAAGTTGTAACACTGTACAACTTTTATTGATTATTGTTGATTTTGTTGAATTATATGTTGTGGTGATTTTGTGATTTATTTGCTAAGAAACTTTGGAATTAAGGAATTCCTGAAACTTTGGAATTAAGGAATTCCTGAGAAGTTTTAGTTGTTTAAGACTTGAGCTTCATAAGCTCATTATTAAGAAATCCTAGAGAGATAGTTTAGAGAGAAGGGATTTAGAGACTAAGAGATACCACTTCCTCCTTAAACCTTCCTTAGAGTGAGTGATCCTTCCTTGGAGATTTTGAGAAGCTGTGTAGTTGATTCATGTCAGTAGAGTCGTGAATTAGAATTTCGTGGTATCGATGTGAAGTTCTTGAAGCTTGATTTTTTTCTTCCTCTAATTCTAGTAGATTTTGAAGTAAGGAAAGCTAGACTTGATTCTTTGTTGATTGACGAAATTGAAGGTTGTTTGATTTTATTAAATTTGTGACTACATGGGTGAATCTTGGAGTAGAAGTGGTGTATGGTGCATTTTTGGTATTTTAAAGCATGTGGAGTGAAATTGTGATTCTAGTCGGATTGTTGTTCTATGTTGTTATCTTGATGAGAAATGAGTTATATATAAAGGATGCACATGTATTGTTGTGTTGCATTCTTAGATTTTCTAGTTTTCAAATGTGGAAATCCAAAATTGGGGTTCTATCAAGTGATGCCAAACATGGACAAGCCCCCCTTTGCCTCGGTGACGTTAGGCACAAGGAGGAGTAATGTTGGGTGTGGATTACTTAATGAAAATGTGTTGTTTGCTTACCTAATTGTTGAACATGTATAGGTTAATTGAATCTATTACATCTTGTATGTTGGTAGCTCTTTATACATTAATTTGGGATAATGTATATTGATGATTATATTATTGGAATGTTGAGGCGATGGTGTTGAGAATGCTTAAAGCATTAAGGCATGTTATGTTGATTGACTTAGGACTAGAGGAGAGAGTGCTCTAAAAGTTGGATATCTCATTGTGAGGGTATTGTTATGGTGCTCTATGAACCTAATTGTTGAAAACCCTTCTGAAGTAGTAGTCTCTTAAAGTGGATAGTTGAATCTATTCTAGGACCATAGTTGATGTAGTATGTGGACAAGGTTGAGGTATACTATCTATAAGGGACCACAACATAGGGGCTAGGTCAAGTTATATTGAATATAAGTGGCAATGTTGATCTATATGAGGGTCAGGTCGATCCATACGTGTATAAAGTGACCAAATCGAGTAAGGTACAAGGTCGTGGGCTAAAATCTGTAACTAAGTAGTAAAAAGGGTGTAATATTTGAAGGGTAATCAATGAGCTAGTTCTATAAGAGGCTTAGTTATGCATGCTAACACTATGGTAGACTCACACCCAAACTGTTCTATCTTAATAGGAATACTAGACTTTCCTAATTTAAGTGACAAAATTCGAGAAACCATGTTGTGGATTTTTATCCAAATTGGTTGTTGATCTAGCAGGTGTAAAAAGATTGTGTTGTTGTTGGTTCAGTAGGATAAAACCACTTAAATTATTTATCTTTCTTGTAAGAGATGTCTTAGTTGAATGTGTGATGACGCATGTAGTTAATGTCTTATGCATATGATGTGTTGATTGTGGTATTGTTCATATGCTACGTGAATTTGTTGTTGAATGGCATGGGTGTGGTGTAGTTTGAAATTGTTTGATGTGATTAAGTTGTTTACCTTTTTAAGATTGTGGAATGCCATGTTGAGATGTTATTGTTGTGTTGTTAAGTTGTAAGCCATGAGATATTGTATCGAGTGGTTTGCATGATGATATTGGTAGTATAGTGATTTTTAATTCTATACTTGTTATGTGATTATTCTTTTGAATACTAATTTACTCTGGTGGGACTGCAATGATTATACTTGATATGAGAGCATGACAAGGATAACATGCAGGTGGAGTTCATGTTGAGGCCATACTAGTGATGATAGTGTTGACCTTTTGAGCTACCTTACTGTAGCTGGTTGTTAGTTGTGTTACTTGATTGACAACTAAAATTTTTCCTAATTTGGGTAAAGATTATAAAAGTAATCTCAATTTGCACTCGAGTATGTTCAAGATGTGTCAAAATCTAAAGAAAGTGTTTGAGTGGTCTAACATGAAGAAAGATGTGGTAAAGTATGTGACAACCTATTTGACTTATCAAAAGGCCAATGTGAAGCATACAAAACTAGTTGTTTGTCGCAAATCATGAAGGTTCCCGAGTGGAAGTAGGATATCACAACAAATTTGTTGTGAGTTTGCCTAAGTCAACTAGGGGAAATAATATTATTTGGATGAGAGTTGATAACTAGATGAAGTGTGCTTACTTCTTGCCTATTAATGTCTAATTTTTTTTAGAGAAGTTGACCTAGTTGTACACCATGAAATAATGCAATTACATGGAGTGCTATCTAATATTATTTTTAATTGAATTCCAAGATTTACCTCTTAAGTTTTATAATTTACCACTTAGATTCCATCATTCACCCCCACTTGTTATACTTTTTTTTAAACATTTTTAAATTCTTGACATTTTTAATGTTCTTTTCTAGTTCTTATTGTTAATTTTAGTAAATTAAGTGTTGACATGACAAAATAATGAAAAATCAATTAAAATAGTTAAAATAATAATAAAATATTTAAAATTAAAACAATTAATTATTTTAGGTAAATAATTTCATTAAGTAGTATAGTTATTATTTATATAAATTAATAAGTTAATTAAATACATTTATTTTTAACTTTTAATATATATGATATTATAAAAAATAATTTTTATTGATTTTAATATTATTCATACTTTTAAATTCATTAATTTACTTATAACAATATATGTTTTTAAAGTATTATAATTTACTTAAATGTTTATTATTTATTTTTAATATATTAATTTTAATATTATTTTTACATAATTAATTAATTTTGATCGATTGTAATATAATTTTTTAATATCAAATAATTTCATTTTTAAATACAAAATCAATATATCAAAAGTAAATTATAAGCATATAAATAAATTATTATTACTTAAAAGTATAATATTAAAGGTAAATTAAAAAATAAGAAGAATATTTTTTTAGAAAAATATTAAAAACAATAAAAATAACTATTCATATTATATTAAGAATTAAAATAAACTATAAAAATAAATTATATGTAACTATTTCATTTGTATAAAATAATAAATATATTATTTAATTTAATTACATATTTAGAAATATTTTAATTGTTTTATTTAAAATATTCTTTAATACATTAATCATCTTAATTCATATTTTTCATGTTTTTGGTACACTAAATTAATTAGATTTAATAATAAAGATTAAAAAATATTTAAAAAAATGTCTAAATTTTAAATATAACAAATTTTTTGTAAGAACTAATTAAAATAGAATTATATAGGTAAAAGTTTAAAACATATTCAAGTCTGAAGCAAATTATAGTGATATTTTTCTATTTAAGGAATTGATAATTTTGTTCGTTAAAGGCATTTATAACTGACGTAGCGTAATATTTCTCACATTTAATAATATTATTACTTATTTCCAACTTATATATTCCATCCGTTTTTTATAGTCGTTTGTTAATATTTTGTTATTTTTTATTGTTACTATTCTAAAATTAATGATTTATATATTTATTTTTTATTTTTATTTTTAATAATTAATGTATATTTATTAAATAATGTATTTATTTATTTTTTAATATATTTATTTCTTTTTTAACTACTTAAAAGATATATCAAGAAAATAAGTAATAAATATTTTAAAAAATTAAAATATCAATAATTTTCTTAATTTTTATATATGATCTTAAAGATAATAAAAAAAAATGAGGGAGTATTTATCTATTCGCTTAAGACATTTTTTTTCCCAAGTATATTTCCATAATATTTTTCATCATACTAGCTCATAGACTTCACTGTTACAACCGTTGATTGTGTCGTGTCTGAACCTGAAAAAATAAAAAGCCAAATCCCGAAAGTACAAAAAGCCACACTAATCAAACTCTCTCTCCTTCTTCTTCTTCTTCACAGCGATAGCCATGAGTGAAAAAGAGCCTCTGCAAGCACCACCTTCACGTGGCTTTGTGGACACAGTACAAGAAATCACCAGAATCTATAGGTCACTGCCACGTAGACCCTCTATTGAAGAGGTGGAAGCTGCCACGTCCACTGTGGATACCCTCAACAACGAGGAACAAACCAAACTCCATGAAATCTCAATGCAACAACCACCCCATGATGTCCCTGAGGACCTCTTCTCTGTCCTGCAACAACTCAAGAAGACCATGGTTTTGTTCCACACGCACCAGCAGAGGAGAGAGGCACTTCACCTTCTTCAGCTTGAAAACATGTTTCAAACCTTCGCTGATCTCATTCAGAAGGCTTCTGAATTGGTTTCTGGAGATAACCAGAAACAGAAGCAAAACCTTCCCACAATAGATGAAGAACATGTGGTGATCACTGATGAAACTTTGGTGAAGGAAGAGGAAGAACCACACAAGGATGGTCTCCAACCAGTGAAGCCTTCCTTTTCTGCAGGTTAGTTTTTATGGGAAATAACCCAATTTCTTACTTCTTGTTGTTATTATGTTCTTTCCTCCATTGTTATTCATTGATTATGTTTAGGATTTAAAATATCTCTTAGGAAGGAAAAACAATTTATACTTCCTTAGAATTTGTTTGCCGTATGGAATATGCAAAAATGGTTTACTTTTGAACCATAGTAACCTATTCCGTTCTGTTAAAAGCTAAATTAGTTCATAGTCTCTTCTTTAATTTGAGACCTTATCAATTAGTTCTCCAGGCTAGTTAGTTGTCTTGGTAAAGTTTTTAAATTGTGATTGTTCTTTTATCATATCCTTTAAAAGATAAAACTTACATACAGAATCAGAATCATCATAGGTGTTAATCTCCGATTAAAATTGGAGTTCCACTTTAGTAACATGCATAACAAAGGATTCTATTAAATGTCAATATATATTATTGCTATAAACCTCCAATTCTGATTAGAGAATAATACCTATGAGTTCTGTGTCCAAGTTTTGTCCTGCGAGATATTATGAATATATGCAGTCGATGTGTTCAGGGTTGCATTGCGGTTGTGGTGGGAGACCAGAGACTCCAAAATCCTTGATGTTGTGGCTGAAATTGCGATCATTGACTTTTTTGAAACCTTGACTTGGTATGATGATCATCCTTGGATTTGATTTTAATTTTCTAGGTGATGGAAGCACTGAGAAGTTGAGTCTAATGAATGTGGCTACTCTTATTGAGAGTTGTGCTGGTAGTGGAGCTGCAACCCTTGAGCTTAGTGGGAAGTTGGTGGATCAGATGGAGTGGTTGCCTGTTTCAATAGGGAAATTATCTGATGTCACTGAAGTGGACATATCTGAGAACAGACTCATGGCTCTTCCAACAACCATTGGGGGTCTCAAGGCCTTGACAAAGCTTGATCTTCACTCAAACCAACTCATAAACCTTCCCCATTCATTTGGTGAATTGATAAACCTTGTTTATCTTGACCTCCATGCCAACAGATTGAGATCACTTCCTGCTACTTTTGGAAACTTGACAAACCTCATTGATCTGGACTTGAGCTCAAACGCGTTCACGGATTTACCAGAGATAATTGGGAACTTGAGCAGCTTGAAGACATTGAATGTTGAGACCAATGAGCTTGAGGAACTGCCTCACACAATTGGCAATTGCTCATCTCTATCTATGCTCAAGTTGGATTTCAATCAGCTCAAGGCCCTTCCTGAGGCACTTGGGAAGCTTGAATTGTTGGAGATTCTCACTTTGCACTATAATAGAGTTAAGAGGTTGCCTTCCACAGTGGGTAGTCTCTGCAATTTGAAGGAACTTGATGTTAGCTTTAATGAACTCGAATTTGTGCCAGAGAACCTGTGTTTTGCTACTAATTTGAAGAAATTAAACTTGGGAAAAAACTTCGCTGACCTAAGAGCCTTGCCAACATCAATTGGAAAGCTTGAAATGCTAGAGGAGTTGGATATAAGTGATGATCAAATAAAAACTCTACCCGAGTCTTTTAGGTTCTTGTCCAAGTTGAGAGTTTTTCGGGCTGATGAGACTCCCCTTGAGAGTCCACCGAGACAATTGGTCAAGTTAGGTGCTCAGGTAAACTTTTTTGAGGTGCAATGTAACTTTGGCTTGTTCCTATTCTTTCACCTTCTCTTTTTACTTAACACTTTTCTCATTGTTGTTCACCAGGAAGTTGTGCAGTATATGGCTGATTTTGTCACCAAGAGGGATGCAAAACTTGTGCCATCAAAGAAGAAAAAGAAGGGGTTTTGGTTCTGGTTTTGCTCCATGTTTTGCCCTCAGCAGAAATGATTCTTTGGCAAAATCTGTTTTAATTTATGTTTCTTCAGGCTATATATTGTTTGTACGGTGCATATGTTTGGAACATCTTGGTTTTCCTAATAACATGATCTGTAATTGTGGATTTGCATTGTAAACTAGTGTTTTTGACTTTGATCTTCTGTTAACCATGTGTAGTAGACTTTCTGCTGATCTTGTAATTTGTAACTAAAAAGAAAGATATGGTGATACCAATGCTGTTGTGTTCATGGATTTTTTGTTTTTAGTGAGGATTTGAGAATATAAAAAAATGATACTGAAGGTGATATTCTACATAATTTTTTTTATTTGTCACTTATTTTTATGATTTTTACACCCGCACATTTAAAAAAATATGTGATAAAATCAAAGAGACAGTTTTTTTGGTCCAAATTATGTGTTGAACCAATACTTTCTTTCTAGTAATTTCAGATTTCCATTGCGTTTGTGACCTGTTTATTGTGCGTGGTATGTCCTATTTCTACATCACCCAGTAGATTCATGTATATTTGCAGCTGTATTATTAAATTCATGTGTAACTAAAATCCAATTGTTGGAAACTGCTATAAGGGTGTCTTGTTTTCAACGCTTTGAATTTCATAAAAATAAGGGATAAGAATTAATATATAGCGTAAAACCTTTTCTTTCTTTAAAATTAAAAGTTATGTCTGAATCAGAAGCCAGTCATAATCCTGAATCTAATTCCAATCTTATTCGGATGTTCCCAAACACATCAGCATCTTTGGTCTGCAGATGACTATTTTTCAATTTGTAATAGAATGAAAATAGCTCTTATTATTATTAATAGAGATAATATAATGATGAGTCGTTAGCTTCAACAATGGTTGACATAGTCAAATAAAATATAAAGAGACGTTTATTGTAATGTAATTCGATGGGCTTAAACTCTGGTATTATCGTGTCAGCTATATCTTCAACGCAAAATGAAAAACTAGTCTTCAGTGACGGGAAGCATTGTGAACGTCATTACAATTTACAAATTAACAAATAAAAACATCTAGAAGGGTTAACTTCTTATAAACAAGGGACTAATCGAGTTACTCGTCTTTTAGAATCCTTCATATCACTCAAACTTTCAATGTGCCAACCATAGTGAGTTGTGTCCTCCATCAATTTCTTGTATAATTAATTTAATCTTTATTTTTCAAATTATGTATCTGTATATATTTTTCATCTTTTAACACATGTCGCATGAGGTTTATATATTAAATTAAGTAGAAAATTTCTTCATTCATTAGTTACATAATCAGAAAAATAGAATATGCATAAATCATCATTAAAATAACATTCTGTCAATCAAATTAGTTTTTATTTTTCTAAAATGAAAAATTTTAAATTTATTACTCTTAGAAAAATGCATGGTTATATCAATTGTTGTGGGTATATATATAAAAAATAGAATAAATATCTAAAAATAAATATTTTTAAGGAATATTATTCAATAAAAATATTTCAAACTATTTTTTAAAAAAATTTTAGAAATATTTTTAAATTCTTATCTCTTTCAATCTATGATTTTGTTTTTATTAATAAATAACCTTGTATCACAATATAAATTAATTATTATAAATTACAATATAATTTATATGGTGATAATATTTATTATTAAAATTAAAATTAATATATATATATATATATTTAAAATTACTTATTTTATATTTTATTTATATAAAATAAAATTTATTTTGTACATTGTACTAAAATATTACTAATAAAAAAAATGTCTAGAAGTGTTCTAGACAAAAAAAAAATATGAGGCCAGTTTACTATACTGGGCCCGAAATGTGGGCCGGTGACTGAGGCCTATGGGAAAGCAAGAGTAAAGGAGGAAACAATTGTAGTTGAGTGAGATTCTTGAATTTGATGTTCTGACTCACGCGACAATTTCATCGTCCTCCTCGTACTCATGCGCTCTGCTACCTTAACCTAAGGTTTTTTTGTGCATTCATATGTTATTTATATTTGTTTTTCTTATTCGTTTTAACAGTTATCTTGTTGATTCGAATCTTACAGGTTTTGGTTATTGTAATTGACGATATATTATGTTCATCCTACTAATTTGATTTCTGAATTCATCATAAACTCACATTCCCTCACTGTTTACGGATACTTTTTTTTTTTTTCCTTTTTAATTTCGTTCATTTTAAAATTATTCAATTAATTTCAATTGAGGTTGCAATTTTGTTCAGCAACTGAATGGGTGTGAGAAAGGTTGAACCTATTTTCATTTGTTCTAAGTCTTAATATTTTAGCTTTTTAAGTGGTAATTCGCTGAAATAATTGATGTTTTGCATCCTTGTGTGTTGAAGATGATCTCAATATGCGGTGATAAAAGTGTGTATGAACTTGTTGCAATGAATGTGATCTTTTGCTGCAGTGCACTGTGAGGTGAGTTTCTTGAGCACACGTGGGAATGGCTGCTGCATCTGGCACACCTGAGTTGGAGACTCAGACGTCTTCCGGCCAAGGTGTCCATCCCAGGTTGGATGTGTATGTGTGGGACATGGATGAGACCCTTGTCCTGCTCAACTCCTTGCTTAAATCGACTTATGCCGAGGCTTTCAACGGTCTGAAGGAGGTGCGGAAGGGGGTGGAAATTGGGAGGATGTGGGAAAATCTCATTCTACAAATATGTGATGATCATTTCTTCTATGAACAAGTAAAATTTGTGTTTTATGTTGAAATTTCCTAGGCTTTTTTTGCTTATGATGTTAGTGATTTGATGTGGGGTTTATGTGGCGCAGATTGAAAATTACAACAAACCTTTTCTTGATGCTCTGGCCCAATTTGATGATGGGAGGGACCTATCTGATTATGACTTCTACCAAGATGAATTAGATTCCCCACATGATGATGCCAACAAAAGAAAACTAGCATATAGGCATCGAGTCATTGCCCAAAAGTACTTACAGGTAAAACTTCTGGAGCATTGTTGGTATTTCTATATTCAACTTTTGAAAGTCAGTACTATAGCATGGAATCTTACTTGTTATTATTTTATTGCATATTTATTGATGCCATGCCAATTGAAGTTGATGTTTTATTGTATATTATGTGATGTATGTATCTATTGCAGTACTTTCCTTTGCATTTTCAAATGTTCATGATGGAATGGTTCAGTTATGAAGCCATAGCATTGTTTTGTTTTATGGATTTTGTCTAAAGATAATAGTTTCCACAACACAATTTCAATTATTTCTACAATAAAATAGAGTTCGATTGAGTTCACTTTTTATGCTTGTTTGATGTAGTTTGCTGTTGTCTGTAAATGTGTAATTTTAATACGTATGGCTAATGTCGACTATGTTTTTGGAAACAAGTTTTTTTTAAATCTTATGAGACTTGAATAGTCTCAAAGTACATACATGTTAAAAAGTTATAATACACAGTTTCTGGAGCATTATTAGTAGTATTACACTATCATAAAAGGTTTTGATAGGCCCTTAACACATGATATAGGAGGTGGGTAAACACGAGGGGCCCAAGGGTACCTTAGGCCGGTTGGTTTGAGAGAAAAAGGAAAAATACAATTATAGAAAAGGGTAGGAAAGAAGATAGGCTAAGGTCTTGTGTGTGTGTATGCTGGGTATATGATATTATGTGATATATTATTACCTGTTACTTTCCCAATATTCCTTTTAGTTTGTGTTTTAGGTATATAAAGGTTTGGCAATCGATAATTAAACCCGTTTTATAAATTAGTGTCTACAACAATATATTTATGTATTGTTGTAGTCTCATTTTATCTTCTATTAAAATCATAAAAATTTCAAATAATAAGACATAAGCAAGATTGATGTGTTTTGTAAATGAGTGCTTCTTTGAAGAATTGCTTGTGGATTAATGTAGAAGATGAAAGAAAAGACTCCCAATACAATTATAGACACCTGACTGCTGCACCTTTTTTGCACATAAATATTTAAATTCCTATGTTAACAGATGAATAGTTGTAAAAAGTAACAGAAACAAGCTTTCAAGACTCAGCAAATCAATGCTAATAATGTAGAACTAGATTACTGTTTTGAAACAACTTCACGAGTTTTAGTTTATTGGTGAGTGATGGTGCTTTGTTTTCTAATGACTGAAGCTTTGTAGACATCATGAAAGTGAGAATCCAAGTTAGAGACTTAGAGTTAGGGTGTAACCAAACAAGTTGTGCTGTACTTTATTTGCTAGCTTTTCCATTTTTAGCTTGACATAGGGATAAACTTGGCCTTTTCGTGTCTGGTTTCAGGGTTTAAAGAATATTTTAGATCACGAGACAATAAAACTCTGGGATGAATTGTATGATAAAACTGATGAATACACAGACAGATGGCTTTCATCAGGTATGTTTTGATGGTTTAATGATATTTTGTTGCATGACCTTTTATATCTTTCATGTTTCATATATTGTAGCACGGACCTTTTTGAAGGAGTGTTCGGCTGAAGAAGATAAAGATGCAGTTTCTTCTAATGCTTCTAATGCTTTTGCTAACACTAGCTCTAACTCAACTAATGCAAAGTATCAGCATGTAAATGTTTTAGTGACATCTGGATCGTTAATTCCCTCACTTGTGAAATGCATGCTCTTTCGTTTGGACAGCTTAATAACACATGGAAATGGTGAGTAATTTTATCTCTTCTGATTGAATGCCATGTCACATAATTGATTTTTTATGCCATCTTTTTTAAAGCTCAAAGCTCACAATCATATTAGTAATCAACCTTTTGGAAGCTTAAAAGCAGTAACCATTTTCATAACGAATAACAGAGTTTAATCCTGATCAAATCAACATAACTGTCTTTAATGATGCATGTCACATTTCAGTTTATAGCTCATGGGAAGTGGGAAAAATTCAATGTTTTCGATGGATCAAGGAGCGTTTCAACCATCCCAATGTTCGCTTTTGTGCAATTGGAGATGGATGGGAAGAGTGTGAAGCTGCAGAAATCATGAGATGGCCATTTATTAAGATTGACCCACGGCCAGGAAAACTTCACAGGTTCCCTGGTCTCACTTTGACAACAGTTAGCCACTACTTTTCTGTGGTGTATGGAAGGACAAACAATGAGAATGATGAAGAATGATGCAAGATCTTCATGTCATCTCCACTTTTCTGGGATCCCTGTCTGTACCAATAATATAAAATGAATGCAGCAGCATACCCAGCCATTGTATTGCCAAGTTTATGGATTGGTGTCATGATATGGCTATCATTCTCAGGTGCTAATTTCTTTTGAAGAAATTAGATGGAGCTATTTTTTTATGACATGCGTGATCACAACATTAAGATGTAGAAATGAATGTAAATCATGCACCACTTATGTACATAAGATGTTTCAAATTTATCTCTGTGCACCTTCTACTGGGCCATGAGCCCATTTTTTGTAGTTTCTATGCTTATTTGGCAATTATAAGGCAAATATGAAGCCACACATGGCTAACCAACCACACCTGCACTTCTTTTGCTGCACAAAAACCTCCAAAGGTCCTAAAGTTAATGGATTTTGGGCTCATCTGAATTTTGGATTTTTGCAAAATAATATACATCCATTATTGATCCACCACATATAAATCGTACAGTTACATGTTCTTCATAATGCTAATGTTTCTGGGAGTTCATTCCAGTTCTAAGTTTTGGTTGAAAATACATTGCTGATGAAGTGATGACATCAATATTTATATGCCATGGCTGGAGCTTCTAGAATACTAGCCTCGCCTTCATTTTCAAGGTTAAGTAATAAAGTTTGACATCACATTCACAAAGCTGTATCTGATGTGGCATGATCGTTAACTAAAGCTACGGGTTAAATATCCTGTTGTGATTTTCTGAGGATTGACCAAACGATTGTAAAGATTTTTTGAGGTCCTTTTCAATTTTTAAATTTCTGGGCCTAAACAATCATCTCTAAAGGTAGGTCCTCTTACGAATTAAGTTAGCCGAATAATTTGAAGCTTCATGGCTAGTGTTAAGTCCAATTTTTCCCAAAGCACGCCTAGCTGTGCATCACATCAATTAAATAGTTTGTCCTTTTGCCAAAAGTTAAGTCCTAAAATGGTATTGGCATTGTTGTATTCCTTTGGCATTGAGATGCAATATATATTGTTCTGACATTCGAGATATGCCACAAATGTACTGATTTGAATTAAGGATAAGATAATTTGATAATCGATGTAGATCAGGTTGAGACTAATCGTCACTTTGTCCATTTAATCATCTACTAATTAAGGACAAATCCCAACGTATTCATATGGCACTGTACAATTGGATAGCAGAGACACGCTCATTATCACGTTTGGCTTGGCACGGTGACATAGACACCTTTCAAAACTTCTTACAGAACATTTTCTGCATGACATATATAGGATGTTAAGGTAGCTTTTCTAGGCAAAGAAAAAGTTATTTCAAATGCAAATTAACTCCTTAAATATTTTTCCTCAATAATATTTAGCTTTTGTATTTTCACCCCTTTTGGTCATAGTCATTAATTTAGCACATTAAATAAGTGAGAAAATTGTTCTTGATCTGTCAATGTGTTGTTGTTACATGTGGAACTATTCTTAACAGAACATATCTCCAAGATTTTAATGGATTAATTTAATTTTTTAAAAAATTTTAAATGCTTTAGTGTGAAATGCTTTGTTAGGTAGATAATTTATAAAAAAAATTGATATTCAAACATTTTTGAAATTTCTCTTTCAGAATTTCAAATTTTTACTTTTTTTTTAGAGAATTTGAAATTATTTTTTTTTCTTTTTCTATCTCTCTCCTATCTTTCAAAGTTGATATAAAAATAACAATAGTTTTTTTTAAATTATTGAACATTTAAAATTATTAAATATTGTCTAATAATAATTTTTTTAAATTATTAGTTTTATAAAATTAATATTTATAAAAATTGGCTAATATTTAGTTTTATAAAATTTAATCTTAAAAAATTGGTTTTATTTATGGTGGAAATTAATTTGTTCTATCCAAACTAAGAATTTAAAATTAAAAAAATTTGAATTAATTTATCCAAACAAAATATTTTAAAAATGATAAAAATTAAAATCAAATTTATTCAAATTTTAAAAATTTCAAATTCTTTGAATTTCTAAAATTCTCCATTCAAGCACACTATTAAAAGAATTATATTAGAATCTGCTTGGAAAAACTTCTCCAAAAACACTTTAAAAAATAAATTTAAAATAACTTTCCTTATAAGTTAAAAGTAACTTATGCATAAATTAAAAATAGGATTTTAAAGAAACCAATATGATATAATGTCAATAAATTAGCTTACATGTAAATTAATTTTAGCTTATAAAAATTATTTTATTTCTTTTTCTTATTTTTTTCTGTTTCGGAATTTACTTAAAACAAGTCCTTTGAAAAAAATTTATTGGAATGCTATCTCAATTTGCAAGAGAGGAAATAACTTATTTTGCAAGACAGATTAATATTTTTAGATTTATCATTATTATGGGGTAGATAATATAACACATGCTATATAATAAATGATAGTGGATTTTGTTTGGGAGCAAAAGAAGATATATGGTGGCTTCATTCTTCAACTGGTGAAGGGGTCCCATTGCAGCATTACCTCCCAATCAAAGGCATGACGGGTGAAGTCGTCATTACTAATTATGACATCATATACAAATAGGATACTTAAAATACCAATCCCTATTTTTGGTTACAAAAATAATTTTACTTTTACGTTTGTACCGTATTTAATTAAATAGAGTTCGCAATTCTATTCTCTTCTCCATTGTCCACAAAAATAATAAGAAGTTTGTTCTCTAGAATCATTTGGATTTGGAAAGTATCTTCAATTTCTTATCTATTTATTTGTTGATAATTCTAAACACGTGTTGTGCTGTACCAAAAATGATTCATAAAGCCCCAATAAATTATTTCGTTTCAAATGTTAATTTATTTCCCTATAAAGTTTTATATGGTCGTTTTTATTGTCTTTTATAGTTTGTATTAGAACAAAACTTAGATAATGTTATTTATATATTATATTTATCATGGTTAAATTAATTAAGTACTTTTTATTTTGGCTTAAATATGTTTAAACAATCTCGAATTAGATCGATTTTTAGTTTATTACTTTTTAATTTTTTTTTGCTTAAATTATCTGACTAATATTTTTTTTTTCAAATTAGTATCTGACGTTAGTTTCCTCTATTAAATGATTACGTGGGAAACGGACTGCCACGTCATCGCCCAACATTGTATGCTATATCAGCACACAATGACAACCTCATTTTTCACGTAAATTGCCACGTCAGATTTGTAAATTTTTTAAAAAATTAGTTTCGCGCATTTGTTGGAAATTTATGAACTTAGAAACCCATTCTCTCATTCATCTTCAACCTTCAGGAACTCACAAAATCATGTTTGAAAATTATTCCTTTTTGATTTTGAAAATATTGAAGTTGTAATTCGTTTTGATTTTCGTTTTCATTCTCCTTTTTCGTGAAGCTGCTCCATTTTTGTGTTTCTTCAATTTGGAAACGCGCATTGTACGTGGTTGTTTGTTCCTTAGGTTAGAAGTTTGAAGCACTGTTCTTCAATGACCATTTGTGGAGGTAAAATTTTGTAGCCATAAATAGAGGTAGTTGTTGTCATTGTTGAAGCACTGTCAAAGTTGTTCTGGACGAAGCCCCTTTCCATTCTCCGTCTGTGTTGAAGGTAAGTGGTTGGTTATGTTATTAGGGTTTACAATTTGATAGCCTTTAACTGTTCTGTTGCTAAGATTTTTTTGACTCAAAGATTTGGTTTATTTGCAGTTGTGTTAATGGGTTTCAATTTAAAACTTTATCACGGGAGTCGTTTTGAGTTAGACTTCGTGATGCATTATGTTGGAGGCAGCGAGCCAGTGCATGTGAAGAATATGGATATGGATAGGTGGTCCTATTTTGAAGCCGTGAGAATTATAAAAGAAGACTTGGCATATGGAGAGCATTCTGTTAGGCTGTGGTGGAAATTTGGTCCTTCTGATTTCAAAGAGATTAATTGTGATAATGTTGCATTAGACATGACAAACTTTGCAATTACTAACAATGTGGAAGTGGAAATGTTTGTCGTTTGTGATGGTGGCAATGAAGGTGTTGTTGGGGACAATTTCTGTAACAGTGATGATGACTCTGTGAGGGATGTTCGGTTGGATGATTTAGAGGAGGAGAGGGCTGCTGGATTAGATGATGAATTTGATATAGAAGTTCCTCAATTTGGTCGAGTCAAACATACTTTAACATATGTGTTGTCACTATCTTTAACCCAAAGAAAAAAATTGCAACAGTTAGGCTCCTGCAACAAAAAATTTAAACAAAATTGTTATAAACAAAGGAAAATCCTAAACCCTAATCCAATAGATGCCATTTACAAAGCACAAAATTAAAACTAACTTACGTTCCAATTACGACATCTCCAAAACCTTTTACCAGGATTATCTTTGCTGTGGGATGTCAAAATGATAGCGGGTTTCTTACATTTACAATTGATGGGTGGTTCTGTAGAAGACGAGAACGATGAACCACAGAAGGAACTCATTTGATGAAGACAAATCCAAACCCAACTTTAGTCAACGACGAAGACAAACGAAAAACAACCCTAACCCCTTCTCTCCTTCTTCTCTTTCTTTCACGGTTCTTCTTCTTCACCGACGAGAAAGTTCTTCTTCTTCTTTTAGGGTTTTTTCAATTTGTTGTCAAACCCCTCTTTCAGTTTCTTATTAAGTCTCAAACGTGGAGAGTGAGGTAGCTATTGTTTGCTGACATGGCATACAACGTTAGACGATGACGTGGCAGTCCGTTTGCCACGTCATCATTTAACAGAGGAAACTAACGTCAGGTACTAATTTGAAAAAAAAATATTAGTCAGGTAATTTAAACAAATTTTTTTTTAAAAGTAGTAATCTAAAAATCGACCTAATTCGAGGTAGTTTAAATATATTTAAACCTCTAATTTTATTAGATTTTTAATTAATTTCTTATAGTTTAAAATCTTTTAATTAAATATTTATAATTTTAAATATTTTAGCGATGTCCTTAAAAGTTAACGTTGTTAAACTTCTATTAAATATTACTAATATTTTTTGTCATGATTTAATTAATGTTAAGTATTTATAATTTTACCACTACAACAAAATTTATTTTTACCTATAATTATTTAACCGCAATAAATTAATTACCTTTATTTTATTATTTAATAAAAGTAATAATGACTAATATATAATGGTCACTAAAAATATATTTATATTATACCAAAATTTATTATTAGCAATAATTATTTATTAAGAAAAACTTTAGTCCTACATCGACTAAAAATAAGATAAATAAAGAGTATATAAATGGATAATAACTCTCACCTTACAAGTTTGTTATGTAGGGTTGAGTTAAACCAATAACTTACTATTCTAAGGTAATATGAGATTACTCACTATTATCAAACTTAA